GGAAGGTGCCATCGTGCCCGTGGCCACGTTGATCCAGGCGTGTACACCGTGAACGAATTTGCGAAAAGGTACTTTACTGGCAGGGCCCCAACGGGGGCCGCCCGCACGCGCGTCGCACCCGCCACGCTGCACGCGACCCACAGCACATTCGATAGCGACCCACAGGAGGCCGGAGATGGCAATGCCAATCCAGTGGCCCCCTAGGTCGTGGTCGGACGTTTGTGGTCGGGGGTTGCGGCGTGTCGCAGTTAGCCTACGCGGGGGTGGAGGCGGCCCAACGTCGCATCGCACGTTGCCATGCATGGCGTCTTCAAAAAAGCTCCAAAGTGGAGTAGGAGGGTGGACTTCAGGAGTGTAGTAAGGCAGGGAAGTAGGACTCATGTAAGAGGCCTCCGCGAGAGCGGAGGTAGCACTGCAAGTGTCTTTGCGGCTGTGCGCAGTTATGGACATTCCTCCGCACAGACCCACTGCACCCCGATGTTCCACCATGTCAGCAGTCCAAGAGATAGTGCGATGGATGGTGAAGAGTAGAGCTCGAGCCGATCACCACAAGCAAGCACCGCTACCAAGTTTGAAGGGGGCTGGGAGGCCCAACCAGTAGCTTCGCCCAAGGCGAAGCCCATAGTCAGCTCTGTTGTATCGTAGCAACGATAGTCCGAGAAGTAGGAGATCGTGGCGGGAGCGACGGACCATGTCAAGCGAAGACGCTTATGGTCTCAATGGCCAGTAGTGTGCCTCACGATGAAGCACAGTCATATGCTGGCGGCCGGCCGCTCGAGAACAAACGGCCGCGGACATACGCTCGCTATCTCTCGCCTTTGCACCAGCCCAATTCAGAATCGGACAGCGTCGCGAGCCGATCGTCAGCATTGGACCGAGCACCTCGAAGCAAGGGTGCAGGAGGCAGATGACCAGCATGATAAAACGACTCTCAACGAGATCACGCGCAAGATTCGCACACATCGGGGACAACGTGCGCTCCGTGACGCGCGACACGAACATGGCCAACTCCTTCTTGACCCTCCAGGCATCTTGGACCGATGGCGCCGCCACTGGGCCGAGCTCTTTGCAGGGCAGGTCGTTTCGATGGACCAGCTGCTCGCGGACCCCAACAGGGTCCCAGTGCCCCCCGAGGAGGTATACATGGAGCGTGCCCGCGTCAAGGCCGACATGTGGAAGCTCAACCTAAGAACGGCTTGGGCCTAAACGGCATCAGCATTTTTGCATGGCGTGCTGGCGACGAAGCCTCGCTCGACGAGTTCCTGCCGCTGTTCGACCTCTCTACCCCACGATGCCAGCTCCCAGTCTGCATGAAAGAAGTAAGATCCTCGATGTCTGGAAGCGCAAAGGCGATATCTTCCTCCCTGCGCAGAGTCGGGGCATTCTAGTACCCGACCACCTGTCCAAGCTGTACACCATGCTGATCTCGGACCATGTGTACCGAGTACTGCCAGCGGCTGTTGGGGATGCACAGTCGTGGCGCAGTCCCAGGACAAGACACGTTCCTACTGACCGTCGGTTTGCAAACCTTCATAGAAAGAGCGATCCGCATGCGCCAGTGCTGGGCCGTCCTATTCCTCGACTTGACCAAAGCCTTCGATAGCGTCATCCAGGAGTATCCCTACGGAGCTGGGCACCGCCAGCTACACCAGCTAGCGGATCAACTGCCCGATCTAGACATCCCGCGTGACGTGGCCAACGAGACCCAGCGCTACTTGCAGGACAACCTATCGTTCCTCCGAACGGGGGGCATGGACGAACACGCCACCGCGAGGGTTGCGGACCTCCATTCCAGTACGTGGTTCCAGGTGCGAGGTGAACCAGGCCCTGTGGTCGCTGCGAACCGCGGCGCTCGTAAGGGCTGCCGACACGGAGCGGTGTGCTTCGACATAGCCTACGAGCTGGCCTTCAAGCGAGTGCGGCACCAGTTCCAGGAGTGCAACATCCAGCTGAGCATGAAGATGTGCACGCGTGCATCCGTACCCTGGGCAACCGATTTCGACGACAGCCCCGAAACGTCACTGCGCAGCAGGCTCCCAACGACGAGCAATATGTAGATGGCGTGACTTTCGAGTTCCTGGGCGATTCCCCTCAGGAGCTAGCTGCTCGCCCAGGCTGACCTTGCAGTGGACATCATCAACGCTGAATTCCGCAAGGTCGGTTTCGTGATCAACCTGGGCCCTGGGAAATCTGCGATCATGGCGCGGATCTACGGCCAGGACTCCCGCACGACCTGGAGGAATCATGTTCTCTACATGGGCAGGGCGGTCTACCGATCACCCTCAGGACTCGAGCTTTGAAGTAGTTCACGACTTCCCGCACCTCGGCACCACGCAGCAAGCGTCGGGCCTGCACATCTTAGACGCCAAGCAAAGGACGTCCAAGGTCCAGCAGAGCTACGCCCCCCTAGCGGTGCATGTGTTTGGACGTGGCTCCCTGCGACGTTCCACGCGATCGGTGTCTAGCCACAAGCTTGGCTTTTCGAGGAGCCACAACGGGATATCGGCCTGGCGTGGAGACGACCCTCGAGCCATGGCCATCGTGAACGGGCAACACCACCGCGTCCTCCGGAGGACCTCGGGAGACGTGCGCTCCGGGGCCCGTGGACACGGCCACGGGCGGGGAGGCTCGGCAGGAGGTGCACGCCCCGCTCCTCGAGTCGACGGTCTGGGCCCTGCGGCTGTCCCGACTCGCGTCCCACTTCAGGGCAGCACCGAGGGTAGTCCAGGTGATTCGAGTGGGGGATGGACTACAGAATTGGCATGCCCCGAGACTGATTCTCCTGTCGAATCTACGAAACATGTGAAGCTTGCTACGTAGATCTACGAGCAGCCGACGTATTTTTCGTAGACTCGGCGAGATACTCAATTCTGGGGTAGATCAATTCTGCAGCCGATCCCCTACTCTGATGATGGTTGAGGCTCTCCCGAAGCCCCCGTCGGCGCAGACGCTGCTCTACGAGCTTGAGCAGTCCGCGACGGCCCTCCCCGGCGTGAGGCAGAGGCTCGGCTCGCCCTCACCCACCCCGAGAGGCGGAAAGCATACGCTGTCGAATCCCCTCGTCGTTGGAAGAGCCAGGCCGCCCAGAGGAAACGGTGGATCCCTGGCCAGCCCGACCAACCAGCCAAGCGCGGGCCGCGTGAAAAGCAGACCCCTCCCCCTCCGGCTGCCTCTGACATGCCTTTCCTCACCTGCCCGGGTTGCGGCAAGCACTGCAAGGGTCAGCAAGGGCTGACTGAGCACCAGAGGCGCAAGCACAGCAGAACGATGACTGCGCGTAGCTTCTGCGTAGGGTCAGTATGCCCGGCATCTGGCGTAGACTATCACCCCGTCCTAGGGCTTCGCACCACTTACAATTCTCCTCCAGAGCATGCCGCGCCGCGATGCTCGCAGGAGAGCTGCCGGAGTTTAGCAAGGAGGAAATATCCGCCGCAGGTTTGCGAGACCGCGTCGCGCAAAGGCTGCTAACCTTCGCGCCGACACTCGGACGCACGCTCTAGCCCCACCCTCGCGCGGCCCTGGTGCACGCAAGCGTGGAATTGGTCTGCTGGACCCTTCCGGCCACAAGCGCCCAGCAAAGGCCAGACGACACAACCAGGACACGATTCCTATTGTGACGCATTTCCGCGTCAGCATCCGCGAAGACAGGGGAGCCTTTTCCCCTGGTGTGAGTTGTTCTCCCCTTTGAGCAGAGGCGCCAGGCCTCGTGCTGCTGGGTTTTTTTTACACTGCCTTCGCCATACAAACTGAGCTCCAGGCATCGCCCACTGCCAGCGCCAGCCAATCATCATCGTCATCGTCATCGTCATCGTCATCGTCGTCGTCGTCGTCGTCGTCGTCGTCATCATCATCATCATCATCATCATCATCATCATCATCATCATCATCATCATCATCATCATCATCATCATCATCATCATCATCATCATCATCATCATCATCATCATCATCATCATCATCATCATCATCATCATCATCATCATCATCATCATCATCATCATCATCATCATCATCATCATCATCATCATCATCATCATCATCATCATCATCATCATCATCATCATCATCATTGGCCGCCATCCAGACTGGTACGTACGTCTGGGCTCGCCTTCTGCCCAGACATGCGGCTGCCCCAATGTTGTTCGATGCGCGGGCCCTGGGGAGGTATGGACCACTTCCCTTTATGGCCCGTGTTACGCCCTCGAGCCGTTTTTCGACGGTCCAGACGCCCGGCGAGGGCCCCCAGAGGCCGAAGACGGCCAAATCCCGCCGCTCCGATTTTTTTCGGGGCGTCGGATCTCCGGGAGGTTGCCGCCTGCGCCATGGGCCTGGTCATCCCCTGAGATCCGACGTTGCACAAAGAATTCAGTGCAAAAAATCACGACTGGACCCCCGGACCCCATCTTTCCGTGGCCTCTCTCGAGCGGAATCGATCTGTGAGGGTCCCGGGGCCCGAAATGTGGCGAGAACGCCCGGCTCGCAAAAATTGAGTCGCCAGGATCTCAAGGTCCTGGATTCGCTCCAGAGCTCACCGCTGGACCCCCTCGCCGCCGACCGTCCTTGCCCTCGAACGCTGCAGGCAGGGCGGTCTGTCCGCCGCAGCCCGCGCCGCGCCGCCGCGCGCGGCGCGTCGCGCGGCCCCCTACCTCGGAGAGCCTCGGGAGGGGGCCTCAAACAGCCTCTGGGACCCAGGGCCACCCGCCTCCAGGAGAGAGAGAGAGAGAGAGATGCCGCGAGAGGCCGTCCTTGCCCTGCCTTTCCCCTCGCCCTGGGGCGGCGGCGCGGCCGCGGCCCCGCGCCTCCCGCCAGGGCGGCGGCCCTCTCCAGGGGTCCTCTTGCACACAGTGGAGGCCAGTCCACGAGAGACTTGCCACAAGAAGCCCAACCCAACCCCAGCCCAGTCCGTTGCCACTCTGGCTCAGGATGCCCACGCCTCGAGGAGGAGGAGGAGGAGCAGGGGGAGGGAAGGGGGCAGCAGACAATCAAGTAATTACACCGCGGCCATGCGGAGGAGAGGGAATGAGCAGGAAGATGGAAGGCTTTTTTCCTGTGGACCGGTGCCATATCAGACTTGAAAGAAAACGACCGAGCAGGTAAGAAACTGCTAAGCCCCTCCAATCCAAGCACTTCTTCTTGGAGGGCTTGCAGGAGGAGGAGGAGGAGGAGGAGGAGGAGGAGGAGGCTTGTCTCGGAGAGAGCCGCTGGGCCACACAGCGCGACTCCGCACTCCGTGCGGAATCGCAAGGCTTGGATTCCATCCAACATCCGCGACGCCCACAGAAAGTGGAGCGGCCTTTGCTCCAGGCGGCAAACGAGCGATTTTCTATTCGGCGTTTCGACATTGGGCGCAAAGGGGGGGGTCTGGCTCCAGACCTCTGCCGAGTGCGGCTGTTTGCGACAGTGCGTCCTACGGGGGGAGACTCCACCTGCTCGAAACAGGCGCCAAAAACAGCCAAGATCGACTCCACGGGGGGGGGGATCGGCAAAACACTGAACCCACCGACCCTGTCGGCGTGTGGAAGAGGCTGTCGAGTCTCAGTAACGCTGTAGTTGAGTCGAAGGGAAGCCCCTTCCCTTTGAACCCTTCCACGCCAGGGGGGGGGGTCCTGAGGGGGGGTGTCCCAGGGAGGGGGTCCTGGGGGTGGGGTCCCGAGGGGGGGGTCCCGGGGGGGTTCCCGGGGGGGTCCCAGGGCAGATACGACTCCCCCCCGGGCGACTCGGGGGCCAAGAAAGCCGCAGGACGCGGCAAAGGTGCTCCAGGATGTCCCCAAAACGATCTTCGAGGGTTTCATATCGATGACGTATCGGTACAAGTCGCCAAAATAACCTCCAGACGGCTCAAAAGGTTTCCAAAACGCCCCAAGAGGCCTCCAAGAGGACTTCCAAGACGGCCCCAAGAGGCAAAAACGTCGACTGCCCGAAGGTTTTTGAAAGATTTCCGCATTCTCGCCTTGTCAGCTTCCCGACGCTCCAAGACAGGCCTAAAGGCCTCCGAGACCGCCCCAAGATGGCTCAAGAGGCCTCCAAGAGAGCTCCACAACGACCCAAGAGGACCCCAAGACCGGCCAAGAAGCCTCCAAGACAGCCGAGGAGGTCCCCAAGACGGCTCCAAGAGGGAGCCCAGACGGGGGACCCGAACGGACATTTCGATCCCTCGGCCTGAGAAGCTCTCAGAAGCCCCCAGAGGCCCTTAAGAAGCCCCCCAAGAGGCCCCGAGAGGCCCCCAAGAGACCCCGAGGAAGCCCGAAGAGGCCCCCACGAGGCTCCCAAGCAGCTCCCAAGAGCGTCCCAAGAGGCCCCCAAACTACCCCCAAGACGCCCCCGAGAACGCTCGTCGTCGTCGTCGTCGTCATTCAGGGTCGGCGGCACCGACCGTAAGGCCTTCGCAATAAAAAACGATCAACGCCCACAGAAAGTGAAGCGGCCTTTGCTCCAGGCGGCGTGGATGTCATGCACCCTGTGCCCTTGGGCGAAAGCTGGAGGAAACAAGCGTCGAGGTGGTTCGGTCAATCCAAACCTGCACCAGAGGTCATCATCGATTGGCGCTAGCAGCATGATCAGGGAGGAGGAGCAACAGGAGCGAGAAGGAGGGAGGAGGCAGGAGGAGGAGGAGGGGAAGGACGACGAGGAGGGAAAAGGAGGCAGGGAACAAGGTGGGGAAGAGAGAATAACGCCGATGACCTCTCGTGCAACTGACTTACAGGAGCACTGGCCAATATTGGGCCCTGCTGCTCCTTCAAAATTTAGACAAATGCTGGAGACGGCGGTCCCGATTGGCGCGCAGATGAAGGCGTAGCTGCATGCCAACTGCCACTGCGGAATATCATCCGTGATCCCACGATGTAGCGACGTCGCACCCAGCCGTCGGATCCGCTCGTGCCAGCAGTCGTACGCACCCCATCCCTCACCACCCTGGGAGCGGGGGGGACGAGGAGGAGGAGGAGGAGGAGGAACAGGAACAGGAAGAGGAAGATTTTTGTGACATCCACACTTCTGCCAAACCATACTCTCTGGGGCGACGGCGCCTACCCCCCGAGGAAAAGGGCACGACTGGGTGGCGCCTCCTGCCACTTACGTCACCTGCCTGCCCCACCGATGACATCACGGCAACTGCGGGGGGACTCACGCCGAAACGGCTGTCAATCCCGCAGCGCCGTGGAAATAGCGATAAACGAAAGACGACGAAGAGACGCACGATGAGCCAGGACTCGCAGGGGGAAGCCTTCAGACCATGCGGGCGGCAACAGCTGAAGGGAGGCCGACCCGGAGCAGCACTGAAAAGGACGGCACGAAGTCCCCAGATCGAACCCACTGCCCAGCTCGGCACAACGTCTGACTTGTCTCCAACGCGTTGCCCCGCTGAGCAACAGACACCGCGGGGGAAGCATGACCTTCAGCACACCACGGCCGTGCAACAGTGGGGAAAGAACCGGAACGAATGCAGCAGTGAAAAGACGGCACGAGGGCCCCAGATCGAACCCACCACATCCACCACGGCCTCACGACAGCACGTGGCGAGAGACAGAGGGGGAGGACGAGGGGTGCGCACCTTCACCCTGACTCGGGGCGCCTGACACACGTGCACAAAAGAAATGCGCGCACGCACAGGAGACGCGCGCGCAACAGAGGGTGCAAGGGACGCCTTGAACCTACTTCAAACGAGACAGAGCCTCGTCTCGACCCAGACCGATAGTTACGGGCCTGAGGCCCCCGGCGGGGATCCAAACCCGTGCATCACGAAACCAGCGACAGAGACCCTACAAGAGAACGGGCAGAAAAATAGCCTGACGAAGGACCCAACCATATACAGGCGTGAGTACCGCAGTTGTGATTCACTTTTTCGGCGGTGATCTCTATGAGACAACGAACCGTGCCACGGGTGTGCCGAAATGAGCGGCGTGGTACACAACGCGAACGAAAACGATTGATCTGAGTACGTAGGGAGACTGAGCGCGGGTGAATCTGAGCGCGAGTGCGTCTGACTGTGAATGAATATGCGTGCGAACGAATCTACGTGCATGAATGCGAGTATGACAAAGCATGGTGTACTTGTATATGAATGTCAATAGTTTGAGACCGACTGCATCTGAGTACTCGTGACGCTGGGCGTGGCCGCCGTAAGGAACTTCCCCGGGACTCCCCGACGGCATCGCCCGCGTGCCGCAACGCCAATGTCGGCGCGCCCCCCCGCGAGGATCGTGCCCGCTTCCTCCCTTTCGTTTACTCCCTCTTTGCCCGCGCACTCAAAAGTCCAAGGCCGCGGGCGCAGCGCAGCGCGGAGTCCCCGCGACGCGCGCAGGTCGCCCCTGAGGGGTCCCAGCGACGCGCGCGGGTCGTCCGCTGCGCGGAGCAAAGAGAGCTAGCAAGCTGGCTGATAGCGGGCAAGGCTCTCGCCGCTGGGCACAGCGACGACGGGCGAGCGAGGCGCGGAACTCCGACGGCCTCCGACAGAGGTGTACTGGGTGTGGGAGAGACGCATGCGGACTGCGCCACGGGGACCTTCGGTGGAGCTCCCTGTGGGGCCACGAAACGCTGTACTGGGTGGGAGAACCGCATGCGGACTGCGCCACGGGGACCTTCGGTGGAGCTCCCTATGGGGCCACGAAACGCTGTACTGGGTAAGGGAGAACCGCATGCGGACTGCGCCACGGGGACCTTCGGTGGAGCTCCCTATGGGACCACGAAACGCTGTCCTGGGTAAGGGAGACGCATGCGGACTGCGCCACGGGGACCTTCGGTGGGGCTCCACATGGGGCCACGAAACGCTGTACTGGGTGAGGGAGACGCATGCGGACTGCGCCACGGGGACCTTCGGTGGAGCCCCATATGGGGCCACGAAACGCTGTACTGGGTGGGGGAGACGCGTGCGGACTGCGCCACGGGGACCTTCGGTGGCGCTCCCTGTGGGGCCACGAAACGCTGTACTGGGTGGGAGAACCGCATGCGGACTGCGCCACGGGGACCTTCGGCGGAGCCCCTATGGGGCCACGAAACGCTGTACTGGGTAAGGGAAACGCATGCGGACTGCGCCACGGGGACCTTTGGTGGAGCTCCCTATGGGGCCACGAAACGCTGTATTCGGTGAGGGAGACGCATGCGGAAGGCGCCACGGGACCCTTCAGTGGGGCTCCATATGAGACCACGACACGCTGTACTGGGTGTGGGAGAGACGCATGCGGACTGCGCCACGGGGACCTTCGGTGGAGCCCCATATGGGGCCACGAAACGCTGTACTGGGCGGGGGAGACGCATGCGGACTGCGCCACGGGGGCGTTCGGTGGCGCTCCCTATGGGGCCACGAAACGCTGTACTGGGCGAGGGAGACGCATCCGGACTGCGCCACGGGGACCTTCGGTGGAGCCCCATATGGGGCCACGAAACGCTGTACTGGGTGGGGGAGACGCATGCGGACTGCGCCACGGGGGCCTCTTTGTGGCGCTCCCTGTGGGGCCACGAAACGCTGTACTGGGTGAGGGAGACGCATGCGGACTGCGCCACGGAGACCTTCGGTGAAGCCCCTATGGGGCCACGAAGCGCTGTACTGGGTGGGGGAAACGCATGCGGACTGCGCGGGGGCCACGAAACGCTGCACTGGGGTGTGATGATGCTGATGTTGATGATGATGCTGACGACGATGATGACGATGATGATGATGGTGATGATGATGAGAGGAGGGGAGGAGGGAGGAGGAGGAGGAGGAGGAGGAGGAGGAGGAGGAGAGAGGAGGAGAGAGGAGGAGGAGGAGGAGGAGGAGGAGGAGAGATGGAGGAGGAGGGGGACGAGACGCGGGGACCGTCTCTTCAAAACGAGGACCCAACAACACAGTTTGGTTGGGAACTACACACCTTCCCCCATGAGGCGGGGCGCCTGACACACGTGCAGACAACACACAGCGCGCGCACGCACGCGAAACGCACTTTCCAGCCAAAAGCGACGCCAGAACGGCGGGGCCGACCACTGCAGCCTCGCCCCTGAAGCGGGCCAACTTAGCAACAGAGGGCGCCAGGGTCGTCATGGGCCGACTTCACACGCGACGAGGCCCCATCTCGCCCCACAAGGCCAGGTCCTGAAGCCCTCGGCGGGAGCCCGATCCCGACCCGAGCGAGCACCTTGCAACCAGAGACTGAAATCCTGTAAAACAGAATTGATCACAGCGACAGCCCGAGGCGATGGGTCAACAAGAGCGCCAAGAAAGGCAGCATTAAACAAGCCGAGCAGCACAAGATGGAGGCCCCTTGTCAGGTTTTCCCACTCTACCCCCGCGGCCCGACTACACGGGCGCTCACGGCGCGCGGGATCGGGGGGCGCCTTCACAGGAGGAGGCCCCAGCACCTTGGCCGTCGGGCAGGGGGCGGACGATCAGTCAAAGTCGCCGGTGAAATCCCAAGACATAGAATGCGATGACTGGCCGCCCAAGCCATGCCAAGACACCCCCCAGCACCCAGCGGGCGGCCACCCCCACCTCGAAGCTCGCCCCCACCCACCACCGAAGGAGGAGGAGGCCCGAAGGGAGGAAGTCGATTCTGAGGCGCTGCTGACGCGGATGTGGATGCCGACCAGACATTCATCCATTGGAATTAGCGCGGCCACGTCTTGTCATCTTGCGCGGACAAGGCGGAGAGAGCCCACGCTTCAAAATTATCCCGGCAAAGCAACCTAACAGCCATGTGTAGGAGCATATCTGGAAGCATTCCCCTTAAGATTCGGATGAGAATCCAGTTGTAGAATTCTGCTGTTCTCGCAGTCGTTGTCGCATTCGCGAGGACAGTCGCAGTGGCAACGGCAGTCGCAGTCACAGCCTCAGCCTCAGCCTGCCTCAGCCTCAGCCTCCGCCTGCCTCAGCCTCAGCCTGCCTCAGCCTCAGCCTCAGCCTGCTTTAGCCTCAGCATCAGTCTGCCTTCGGCCTCGGCCTCAGCCTCAGCCTGCCTCAGCCTCAGCCTGCATCAGCCTCAGCCTCAGCCTCAGCCTGCCTCAGCATCAGCCTGCCTCAGCCTCAGCCTCAGCCTCAGCCTGCCTCTGCCTCAGCCTCAGCCTGCTTCAGCCTCAGCCTCAGTCTGCCGTCGGCCTCGGCCTCAGCCTCAGCCTGCCTCAGCCTCAGCCTGCATCAGCCTCAGCCTCAGCACGAAGCGACCCAGCTAGAAGGACAAAGCGCTGAATGTACACCGATGTGTTCGACGACTGCGTATGTAATGATGTGACGATATACAGACTGAGCCCTTCGTGAATGTCTACATGTTTTTCTGACGCCTACAAACGGCGCTGACGTGTGTGAGAAAATTGTCCGCGCAGCAAAAGCCGGCGAAGCGTGCGGGAGCTCGCATGCTGAGACAGACTACGTCTGCAGACCGCCAGCTGCAAAAAGTTGCGAGCGGCTCTTGGAAGATGTTTACGGAACGGAGCTACGGTGTCTGAAAACATTGGCATCGAAGGGAAGAGCCTCGGAGCCCTGCAACCTGAGAAACACCGCAGGAACTCGCATACTGAAAAGGAATGCATTGCAAACCGCACGCTGCGAACCCTGCAGGCTGAGAAGCACCGCAGGATGTCGCATGCTGAAAAGCACTTGTACTGCAGAGCGCTAGCATCTATCTCGGGCTCGGACCCCCCCGTCCTGATCCAGAACGTGTCCGGCCACGGCCTGAAAATGCCGTTCCAACTCCCGAGGATCAGCTGGCACTCCGGCTCTGGGACACTCCAGTACGTCTTGAGCACCTTGAGCCAGGCCCCATCTCGGGATCCCCACAGCACGCTGTACTTGACCGAGACCGTGCCGAACTCATAACAATTGACCTCCGAAGGACCTGCGAGTGCAGGCTGAGAAACACCACGCGATTGCAGGGCACGGCATTGCGTGTCACATGAGTGCAGGCTGAGAAGCACCACATCTCGTTTGCCAGAGATCACTCCCAGGTTATTTGATCCCGCAACACCAGCCACGGCGTAGCTGCCACAGGGG